CCAATTCACGTTGCCTCTCCTCAAACAGACCTTTGAGCAGTATAAGACCCGAGGAGAGCTTTTCAGTTTCTTAACAACAGCATGTTAGCTAGAACAACCTGTCCTTAGCAAACAGCTAGAGTAAACATGGATCACCCAGGCAAGAGATTTTGTGTGCTGAACATACACTCCCAAGTTTTGCATCCTGACAGAAAAAAACGAGAGACATCTGTTTTGTGGTTGGAGTCAGGACAGCCAGATCAGAAGATCACAGGCCTTTAAATTCAAACAGCATCTAGAGGTATATGGCAGAAAAGTATAAATCCAGATTCATATTTATATCCAGTAAGACAGCACAGGGACACGGGTGGCACGGTGGGTTAATCCACAGAGCCTAGGACTTGCAAATCAGAAGGTCGGTGGTTCGAATCCCCGTGATGGGGTGAGCTCCCGTTGCTTGGTCCCTGCTCCTGCCAACTTAGCAGTTCGAAAGCACGTCAAAGTGCAAGTAGATAAATAGGTACCGCTCCGGCGGGAAGGTAAACAGCGTTTCCATGCGCTGCTCTGGTTCGCCAGAAGCGGCTTAGTCATCCTGGCCACATGACCTGGAAGCTGTACGCGGGCTCCCTTGGCCAATAAAGCGAGATGAGCGCCGCAACCCCAGAGTCGGCCACAACTGGACCTAATGGTCCCTTTACTTTTACCTTTAAGACAGCACAGCGCACATCACCACTGTGGTCTCAGATCCATTCTCCCTGCTGTTTTTTGCCAGTGCAGTAAATATGAAGCAGAGTAATCTGTGGTAGCCGTCCCTAGTTTACCTACCTTTTTCAAAGAGTTAAGAGTCAGTCAATATTAAGAGGGAGGAAATGGAGGGGAAAGAATCAACATTTTAAGTGCTCTGGTGCCTGAATAATGCAAAGGGGGAAGAGTAAAATGCCTGGTTGTCATGACAACACCATCCCTGGATGCTTTGGGATGCTTCTTACTCTGCTTACATTCCAAAGCTTCCGGACTATTGAAATGATGTGAGCGAATTTTCCAGCTATACAAGCTAAGTTTAAGGAAGTGTTCTGCATGGGAGACAGGATGTGAGGAATTTTGCGAGGACTTGGTCCTGTCCCAGAACATAAATGGGAACCTGAAGCTGGAAGTAAAACCTGCCTTGGAGTAGATAACTATTAACTACAGTCACACCCACCATACATTTAAAGCGCACTTCTTTCCCAAAAAAATCAAGGGAATTGTAGTTCTGTGAGGGGTCAACTGCAACTCCCATGATTCTTTGAGGGAAGTCATGCCTGTTAAAGTGGTTTGGATGTGGTTTAAATGGTTTAGGGTTGTAGCCAGCTAAGTTCTACTAGGAGTAGGACCACGGAAACTAAGAGACCCCACTTTTTCTTGCTAATTAATTCCAATGGGTCTACTCTTAAGTACGCCTGACAAGGGATACAACCCTTATTATTTATTGGTTACGTTTCTAGATCACTTTCTCCCAAGGAAGTCCAGAGCAACATATAAGAAGCTATAAAAAACACAAAGTACAGATCATAAATAAAGCATCATAACCAATGTAGTTTAACTAGCTTCTCTTTCCTCCTCAAGGATTAGAATAGCCTTGAACTGCAGTTCCAATATTCTGTTTGGAGAAGGAAATGCAAATTCCAGTCTTTGGAGTGCCGTGGAAATTGCTGCAAGACACGTGTTCCTCTGAGGAAAAGGAATGGAAATTACACGAGCGAATATGAGTGGTATTGGCTATTGCACTTTTTGTTATCACAAAGCAACATATTGCAGCATAAAAATTACTAGCATAACTAAAAACTACATAGACTCTTAACAGTGGTTCAACATTAAAATCATATATTTTAGCCCTGGGAGAATAAAGAAGTGTTAGAATCATAGCACTGTAGAGCTGGAAGGGATCCTCAGGGTCATCTAGTCTAACCCTGATTTCTAGAAAAGAGGGCTACCATATGTCCCGGATTTCCTGGACACTACTTGGATTTCAAATGCGCAAGTGACATCCGGGAAAATTTATGCAAGGCCCAGATCTTTGGCAAGTAAACCGAAAAAACACTTTCATTTTAAAAAAAGCTCAACAATTTTGGGGTCTTCTTTAAAAAAGGACACTTTTGGGGTGCCCTGGTTTTTACTTTTTGAAATATGGCAACCCTACAGAAAACTTTGCCTAGATTGCAGTCTTAGTATGTATTACAGTATTCTAATATTTTTTTGGAAGCCGCCCAGAGTGGCTGGGGAAGCCCAGCCGGATGGGCGGGGTATAAATAATAAATTATTATTATTATTATTAGGCCTTTGAAGTAGGTAACACTATACATAGTTAGAATATATAATGAATGCAAAGCATACAATGTTATACAGAATTCATACATTACCACTACCCAAATACCCCCCACTATTCTCTTTCTGAAATTATATCTTTTTTAAAAAGCATATAAAACCAACAATATCATCATATGAATTGATGGGAACCTTCCATAGCTATGGCTTCATTCACCAGATAACTCCAGGAAGGATATCCAAATTGAGTAAATTTTTCTCAAGTGCCTTTCACACCATCATAAGTAGCAAAACAATATGAAAATCCAGGGATTTTTCAGGTTCTTCTTCTGGTGTCCTGGCTCTTTCTTATTTGCTTCAGGTTAGTATCAGTCTCATTATCCATTATGTGCTTTTAGACCGTTGACTTCATTCATCTTCACAAGCCTTTGGAAGTGAGAGCTGGACCATAAAGAAGGCTGATCGCCGAAGAATTGATGCTTTTGAATTATGGTGCTGGAGGAGACTCTTGAGAGTCCCATGGACTGCAAGAAGATCAAACGCATCCATTCTTAAGGAAATCAGCCCTGAGTGCTCACTGGAAGGACAGACTGTGAAGCTGAGGCTCCAGTACTTTGGCCACCTCATGAGAAGAGAAGACTCCCTGGAGAAGACACTGATGCTGGGAAAGATGGAGGGCACAAGGAGAAGGGGGCGACAGAGGACGAGATGGTTGGATAGTGTTTTCGAGGTTACCAGCAGGAGTTTGACCAAACTGCGGGAGGTAGTGGAGGACAGAGGTGCCTGGCGTGCTCTGGTCCATGGGGTCACGAAGAGTCGGACACGACTAAACGACTAAACAACAACAAAGTATCAGTCTCATTATCCATTATGTGCTTTTAGACCGTTGACTTCATTCATCTTCACAAGCCTTTTGTGGAAGATTACAGTTTTGTAGATCAAAGAAGTCCGCTCAGCCTTTAAGATGCAGCGGTGTTGCGGAACAGCAGAGGCTCCTCCAAGACCCCAACGAGGGAATCGTGGCATCGGAGCCCCATCCAGATAGGGGACAGGGACGTAAGCCCACATCACCTATCAGAAGCCGGATCCTAGCCTGTATCCTGGATTGGCAATTGGGCTGGGCCGGGGCACAGAGCAGATGGAGAAGGAAGGCTTCTCTTGGGTCCGCTCCCTGGCCATTTAAGCAGCCATCACCTGGGGCCCTACCTGCTTTTCCATCGTTGGGTCCCCCGTCCCCCCCGGATCAAACCGATGGCTAAGGACTATGCTGTGGCTACAGTATCATAAATGTACCAAGCAAACAACATGTCTAGAGCAGCACAGGAATACAGTCCTGAATCCAATGTTTCTCTGCAAGGAGGGAGGAGGTAAAAAAAACCTTTGTTGTTACAGGAGTTTAGTAATCACCATTTCAAAGGGTGACAGACTACCAGGAAAGGCAATCAGATAAGGCATTATCAGATAACCTGGCAGACAGGAAAAACAACAACATTCAAATTTCTGTTGTAGACCACCTTTTCCGTGATGAAGGTATGATGTTTGTGGTGGGCTGTCTTGGGTTACACCCCTTTTGTGATGTATGTATGATGTATGGAGTGGTGGTCTTGAGCTCCAGGGCAGGGAATTTAAAATCTCTATATAAGGGTAGGCAAACCTTGGTTCTGGGTCCTCCTCCTTTCCTGCATGTGAGGGGAGCACCCTGTTGCAACAGTTCAATAAAGATCAGGCTTATGAGCTGCTTTGCTTCTCAATATTCTCTGGTTGGCCTCTGTTATTTTCTCCTACCAATAGGGAACCAATGTAAGGAATCTATATGGGCTCTTGGATACCCCATAAGGGAAAAAGGGCAGATTTTGTTTACAATACCTACCTCCTAGCAATTGTCACAACTGGGTTGGGCATTGGGGCAATCCTTTGTTTTGGATGGAGGGGAGCTTGTAGTCTCTGCCTACCCCTCCAAATGCTGGGGTATCCCGTTAAAGGGACCGGGGGGTGGGGAGTGGTCATGTTCATGTGCTCAGGCGGGGCCAGGGCTGAAGGCACTCCCCCAGACAGCGGTCCCTGCGGTGGTCACCCTATTTGATGTAAGTCTTAGGAAAAGGGAAAAGGTAAAGGACCCCTGGATGGTTAAGTCCAGTCAAAGGCGACTATGGGGTGTGGCGCTCATCCCGCTTTCAGGCCGAGGGAGCTGGTGTTTGTCCACAGACAGCTTTCCGGAGCATGCGGACAGCATGACTAAACCGCTTCTGGCACAATGGAACACCATAACGGAAACCAGAGCGCATGGAAACACTGTTTACTTTCCCGCCACAGCAGTACCTATTTATCTACTTGCACTGGTGTGCTTTCGAACTGCTAGGTTGGCAGGAGCTGGGGCAGAGCCATAGCTGTCAACCTTCCCTTTTTTGGCAGGAAATTCCCTTATTCCAGCACGGTTTCCTGCTGCTCCCGCTGCTATCCCGGATTGTTAGATATCCCTTAGACTGTCCCCGGTACAGGTGAGGCTGCTGATCCCTTATTTCCAAGGCTCCCCAGGACAGGTGAGGCTGCTGATGCCTTCTTTTCAAATCTGAAAGTTGACAGCTATGGGCAGAGCAACGGGAGCTCACCCAGTCACAGGCATTCAAACTTTCAGATCGGCGAGCCCAAGAGGCTTGGTGGTTAGACCACAGCGCCACCCGCGTCCCCAAGTATTAGGAACCCCCCCACCTGGATTGGCCTAAGTGTCACTTCTGGTGGGCGGGCCGGAAGTATTTTGATTGCCCCATGCCCAAGCCAAACCTCTTTCATGTGAAGTCAATAAAGTTTATTTTGATCCAAACCAGTCCTTTATTTGTCTGCAGGTTGGGGACTGGAGAGCACAATGCCTGGACCCGCAAGAGAGACTGAGAACTGGTGACTTGCAAAAGGTCACCTAGGAACTTCAAATGTAAGCAGTGCACTTCATACCTAAGCAGTGATGTGAATAGTGTCATGAGACAAAGGTTCTTGAAAGCAGAAGCAGTAAGGCCTACAAGGACTACAAAATCATTCAAACCTGCTAACTGCTAACTGTGAACAGCAAACTGTTAAGTCACTGTGACTCATGACTCATCCTCATTCTCCCTATAAAAGTAGCCAGCCTCTCTGTGGGCCTCAGTGTATGTGTTTCAGCCAGTGTGTGTGTTGCGTTGTTGCAGACAGAGTGGCTCCAGGACTCTAGTAAATCAGTAACTAAGACTGTGCCTCTGTGAAGAGTCAGATAGCTGCCATGAGCACTCTGTGTATGCTCTTTAACTATGCTGTTTATGAACAACTTTATTTTCTCAAGTAAAGTTTTATTCTGTTTATGAAGAAGACTCTGCTTTGATTAATTTACCGCTGCACAAGTAGTGGCAGCTGGGAAGGAGAATGTGACTTGTAGTCTGCATAGCTTCATCCCTCCCTCAGTGGCTAGTAGCAGCAAAATCAGATTGGTCTCAGCTAGGGCCAGGGCCTTTTCAGTACTGGCCCTGACTTGGTGGAACACTCTGTCGCAAGAGACTAGGGCCCTGCGGGACATCTTTCCGCAGGGCCTGCAAGACAGAGCTGTTCTGCCTGGCCTTTGGTTTGGACTCAGTGTGACCTTTATGTTTTCCCTCCCCTTATGGTTTTGATCTATGGGCTACTTTTAAAATGAGGCTGTATTTTAAATTGGTTTTTTTCCTATTATGATTTTACTGTAATTTTACTGGTGTTAGCCGCCCTGAGCCGAGGAATAAATAAAATTTATTATTAATAATAATGCAGAACAAGCTCTCTCTCACACATATATGCATAATTTATTCAGGCTGCAGAATTTGTCTTACTCAGGGAGCAAAATTTCTGTTACTTTGTTCCGTATTTGGGTTTTCTTCATGCATTGTGCATTCCCAATGAAAGTTTTGCTGTGGCAGATATTTATTTTGGTAAGAGTGGCTCCTCTGAAACACTTTCCAACCTGCAACTTCCTAGTTCAGTCAATTAGCTGGATGGCTGGAATTCACCTCGGGCTCAACTGATTCCCATGGGTAAGCCTCAGCCCAGTCTTCACTCATTTGCCCTAGTTAATGAGCAACAACTCCCACTCACAATTATAAAATAATCCACCAGACTGTATTGTGGCTAAAATTAAAGCAATTAGCTCTAGGCAGAGGAAAATGTTACTAAACAAAATACCAGTGCTCGGCTTCCATTATATAAAAAAGCAAATCGAGCAACTGTTTTTATGGTAGATTAGCTATTTTAGAGTGAACAGAGAGGTTGCAATCATATGTTCCAGCTATAATGGCTACAGCTTATACCAGCAAATAATGTAGTCAGATTCCTATGTTCCCATACCCTCCAACATTTCTCTGATGAAAATAGGGACATCCCATTCCATAATGATAATATTACTATTTATATCCCACACATCTTACCGGGTTGCCCCAGCCACTCTGGGCAGCTTCCAACATATATGAAAACATAATAAAACATTAAACGTTAAAAAAACCCTTCCCTATACAGGATTGCCTTCAGATGGCTCAGGGGTCAGATAACTCCATACACTCCAACATTTCTCCAATGAAAGTAAGGGACATCCTAAGGAAAAATGGGTCATTCTGGGATCAAATCAGAAACTGGGATGGCTGGGATGTCCCTGGAAGATAGGGACACCTGAAGGGTCTGTGCTTCCCAACAGCAAAGTAAAAAGCACGATTCTAGGATCGGAAATGTCAGCTAATATTTATTCATTCATTTATAAAAGTCTATATACCCACATAAAATATCAAGGTGATACACAGCAAAATATGCAAACAAAATAAAATACAAAAATATTGTTAAGAAATACAAAATAATCACAAGAATGACTAGCTCATCAAAAAGGGGAGAATTAAACAACTGAATAGGCCTCTTAGCACAAAACAGTCTTCGATATAACAATGGAAACTTCTCCCATAGGAGCCATGACAACAATGTTCCTGACCTCCTCCTTTTTCTTTGGCGATCGCTTATAGCCAAGTATGATTATCTTCCATGAACACGGTTGCCCAGTGGTGCCCTGGGCCTGGCAGAGAGAGTGTTCCTGGAGCCCAGAGCCCATCGGCTCCAGTCCCTGGCCAGGCTCTGACCTCACAACCAGCTGTGGAATCCTGGGGAAGGTTTTGTTTCCTAGGAGGCAGGTGAGTTCTTTGAAAGGATCCCTGGGTCAGTTGAAAGCCTGTTGGTTCAGTTAGGAGCCTGTATAAAGCAGCAATCCTTCTTTTCTGAATTTGAAAGCTGTTCGACTGACTTTGTGGACCTTTCTGGGTTTGGAGATCTTTTGCATAATGTGCCGCTGGTGGCGTAGAAGGTAAAGTCAAGGGAAAGAGGGGAGACATCCTGAAGATTCGTATCCCCACCACATGCCCAGTTTTTAAAGATGCTCCTTGGTTATTAAGACCTTTCTTAAATCCCATGCTGGATGTTACATGAGCCAGCAACTTTCCCAGGGAGTTTTCTGATTTGTTGCTATGGAGAGATTTTCCTTCAAGAATGCTTGAGACCACTGAAACAGAAACCCCACCCCACCAAAACAGAAACAGGGGAGATGTTGAGGACTGTTGGCCTTCCAATTATTGCTGAATCCCATCCAATCCCCTCCTGCAGGCTAGAGAAGGATCTGTGGCCTGAGATGGCTGCCCCCAGCTTCCCACCTCCAGCCATGTGCATTTCCAATGGGCATCCCTACGTTGACCATGTGCACCGCATCCACACTCAGTGTGAACTGGAGAGTGTGGCACGCAGAAAACACCAAGGGAATCGGCCCCGGAACGGTCCCAGGTGGAATCTGGACCGTCTGTTCCCGTAGAGACCCCAGTGACGATGGCGACTCCCCCCGGCATTGTGAAAAGCTCAAAAAGCAAAATTCAACACTCCCAAGTGAAACCTTCACTGCTCAGGACCCAATGGCACCACCACGAGCTCAGTGGCTGCAGTATTCATGGATACTGTCCAAATCCCTTCCAGTCCCAGAGCCTCCCTGAACCCACCCGCAGGGACACCCGTCCCACCCTCTGCCACATTGAACATGTGTGCTGTCCTCAAAAAGGGGGAAACCCACCTCCCAGCAACCTCTCAACTGCCTAAAATTCCCAGCGAGCAGCACACCATTCACAGAGGGCACATCACTGTGGGTCTCCAGCTGCCGAGTGCATCATCTGCTGCCATCGAGATATTTTACTTCAAGAACACAGAAACAGAAACATGCCTTAATAATAATAATATAGAGATCTAACTAAGAGCTAAAGTAGTTACTGCTAAAGTTCATCTGAGCAGCTGGCCACAGCAGCAGTTGGTGGTCTTGAAGCAAAATCTCTCCATACCCACGAAGAATGCAATCAGCAGCTGGAAACCCGCAGCGATATGCCCCATACAAATAGAAGGTCAAATATGCTGCTCGCCGGGAACCCCAGGCAACTCAAAAGCCACTGGAAGACAGCACACATGCTCCATACAACAGAGAATAGGACAAGTATCCCTGCAGGCAAGCTCAGGGAAGCTCCAAGAACAAAAAAAATCAAGACAAAATCCTCACATTCCATGGGCCAGAAGACACTGCACAAGGCAAACGACACAAATGCCACAGTGGCTGAACTCACAATGGAAGCCAGTGCCATCAAGTCCTGAGCAACAAAAATCTCCCTTGGGAGGGCCGGATACCACCCATTGAACTCTTCACAATGCCAAAAAGAGTCATCATCAGGGTCCCTCCAAAAACAGACAGTCCAGACTCCAATGAAGACGTCTCAAGAGCCGATTCCTCCAATGCCCTCCACACGCCACACTCTCCAGGCCACACCATCCGCCGATGCAATGCACACAATCCAGGCAAAAACACCAGTCAAAAATGTACACAATCAAGTGTTCTACAATTCCCCACTGAGCACCACCTGACCTTACTACGCCTCTGGCAGGATCCATCTCTCCTTGAAACGCAGAGCCCAAGTCTTTTTTGAAGAATCTTTTTTGAAGATCTGCAGGAGAAAGGGCCCCTCATTGAGGAAATTGGGGACCATTGAGGAGATCGGGGAACAGAAACCCCACCCCACCGAAACAGAAACAGGGGAGATGTTGAGGACTGTTGGCCTTCCAACTATTGCTGAATCCCATCCAATCCCCTCCTGCGGGCTAGAGAAGGATCTCTGGTGCGAGATGGCCGTCCCCGGCCATGTGCATTTCCAGTGGGCATCCCTACGTTGAGCATGTGCACCGCATCCACACTCAGTGTGAACTGGAGAGTGTGGCACGCATAAAACACCAAGGGAATCAGCCCCGGAACGGCCCCAGGTGGAATCTGGACCGTCTGTTCCCGTAGAGTGACGATGGTGACTCTCCCCATGAGCTCAGCGGCGGCAGTATTTATGGATACTGTCCAAATCCCTTCCAGTCCCAGAGCCTCCCTGAACCCACCCGCAGGGACACCTGCTTTAGCTGCCTCTTTTCCGGACCCTGCTGGGATTCAGCCTCAACCTAACGTCCTTCCCCTTCTGCCCTCTTTGCACAGAGCTGTTTATGGTGGAGGCCTCCCACCTGAGCTCCCTGCACGTTCTTACTGTGCTGTTCTACCAGTGGCTATATAAAGAAAAACTCCTTTCTCAGGAGGAGCTGACCCTCGTCTTCCCTGAGTTAAGAGAACTGCTTAAGGTCCATGGTAAGTCTGTTTCCCCTCCAGACCATTCTGTGGCTGGCCCAGGCCTCCGCTTCTCCCTGGGTGGTCAGGAGCAGAGGGAGAAGGGCCAAAAATAAAAGCACAGCATCCAAAGAGCTCTGCAGCAGGATCAGGCCCGAGGGGCCCAGCCAGACCTGCAGCCTGTTTTCAGGGGCCCCCACAAGCTGCAGGGCAGAAGCTCAATCCCCCCCCCTGAACTCCCCCGATGCCCTGCACACGCCACACTCTCCAACCCACACTGGCCACCGATGCAACGCAACCAGTTCAGATGAGAGCAATGCCCCCCCAGGAACAGGGATTGTTCAGAGGCATCCACTGCCTTGTGCAGCCAGTTGCTGCCTCTCAACCTAACCTACCTCCCAGGCTGGTTGTGAGGATTAAATGAGAAGGGAATCCATGGACACCCTATTAAGCTCCTTGGAGGAAAAGGTGACATAAATAAAGGAGACACCTGGTCTCTCCACCACTGAGAAAGTGGTATTCAAAAAAGAGCAGGTCGTCTCTGTCCCTCTCCTGTCCCTGCTGGGGTTATTCGTTATTCCCCCTCTCCTATTGCCTTGCTCAACCTCCCCCCCCCCCGCCTCTTCCCTCCCCCCCCCCAGGTTCTCCGTCGGGGAAAATGAAGGATCTACAGGAGAAAGGGCCCATCACTGAGGAGATTGGGGACCACCTGCTTTCCCAGGTAAGGATCCCAGAGCAGGGCAGAGGCTGGCAGCAATTGGCAGGGGGCTCCCTGTGGGTTTCCAGTGGACTTGGGCCCTTGATTTCCTGATGCTCACTGGACGTGTTTCCTCTCCCCTGCCCCCTCCCTCCCTCCCAGTTTGGTGTGGTTGCAAGTGAGGAGCTCCAGTAGGCCATTACTAAATATGGCTTGCAGCAGGCCAGGGCCCTGGAGATCCTTCAAGCGAAGCAGCAGTGGGATGCTCGGTTCTGGCGTGTCATCCAGGTATGCTCCATGAGAAGAGGAGGCTGAGCTCGGGGAAAGGGCCTTCTCAGCTGAAGGATTACTCCCTGGGCGAATGAAAGAGTGCAGGAGAACAAGCCAGATGATGGTGTAGGTTCGGTGATAACCTCTAGTTGCATGCTGCTCCCATCTCCAGGTGGTTCAAGATTCCAGGGGTTCTGGGGGCTTTCCCTAGGTTTGGCTTCTCGGAATGAGGGGCAACCTCCTGTTCTCACAGCAGCCGCCCAGCTGCCCCAAAGGAGAAGCCCCTAAGCAAGCGGGAGCTGAGCAGCAAGGCTCCCCCCACTTGTTTTGCCGCTGACTCTCTCTGGTGCCCAGAAACATGTCATAATAATGATAATTATGTTGTCTGTCTGCTTCCTTCTCTGCCTCTCCCAGGAAATTGCGAGCTGCCCATAAGTCCACCACCGTTCAGCTAAAGGATTTCCTGGAGTGCGAGATGCAGCGCCTAGCTAGCTACCCTCTGCTGCTGAATAACATCATCCAGCACACTAATGGTCTCTCTCTCTCTCTCTCTCTCCTTCTCCATATATTTATGTGTCGGGTGTGGTGGGGAGGGTGTCCCAGGAGAGCTGTATGGCGTTTGCCTCCCAGGATGGGTCATAAGGAAAGGGTTAAAGTGGGTGTGATAGATAGATAGTTTATTACGGCCATAGGCCCATATTCAATACATCATACAGCAAAACAGGTATAACAAGATAAAATTAATAAATTAAATTACGTTTAAATCAAATACATCTCAAACCGTAAGTTTCTAAATTCCATTAAAATAAGAACAATATAGCGCTTAAAATATCAAATTATCAGTATAAATCAATATTATTTAGACAAAATCAATAATCATAGAGTAATCCATTTTTCCTTTTATAGGCTAATACTGTTATCAGAAATCTGGCAACAGAAAGGGACCTACTCGGATCAGAATCTTGCAATAAATGTATTAGCTGTGTTTCCAAGGAGTCACCTGAGATTTCCAATAATAAAGGGGACAAAAATCTGATCCGAGAAACTGAATGTAGTGAACAACAGAATAGTATATGTTGTAAAGATTCTATAGATCTATTATCACATACACACACCGCTGAGATCCGACCATTGGAAAATCTATTATTCAAGACATTGGAAGGAAAGGCGTTAAATCTTGCCTTAATAAAGGCATATCTGTGGGCCGCTACAAAGAAGTCAAATAAGATGGTATCTGCTGTGAGGGCACTATGCCAAGATTTAATGGTGAGCAAGTGTCACTACCCAAAATGGTGTTTTGTTGTAGGTCAATCTCCTCAAGTTTTTGAGTGAGGTTTTTTTTTGCTGTGGCTAGGTCCAATTCCAATAATTCTGATGGAGACAATCCATAGGTCACTACTTTAGAATGGATCTCTTTTGCCCCTAGGACGGGAAAATTATCTCTCCAGAGGCATTGGATCAAATACAGATTCGGGAGCCTATGCCTTAAGGACAACCAGTAACAAAGGCTGCGCCTCCAAAGAGTATTTTCTAAAGATGTAGTTTTTAATTCTAAGCAAATAGCTGCGTTACTAACGCACTGAGGAAGTTTTAGCAGTCGTCTTAGAAATTGATTTTGAATTACCTCCAATGGCATCAAGTTTACTGCGGTCCCCCATAAAGGAACAGCATATGCCAATGTTGCAATTACTTTAGCTTTGAATACTTTCAAGGCAGATGGAGCCCCGTCCGAAAAGAAAAAGCTCAAAAGCGCAAAGGATAGGGCCTTGGCCTTGTTTAAAATATGTGCAATATGCGCCTTCCAACCCAGGTTATATTGGAGAAAAACTCCCAGGTATTGAAATTTATAGACCTGTTCAATAGGTTTTCCATCTAATTGCCACTTATAGGATTTCCGACTTTTTGAGAAAATTAGTACTTTTGATTTAGATTGATTTATAGTGAGAGAATTTGTTTTACAATATGAAACAAAGAATTTTAATGCTCTCCTGAGGCCAATTCTTGAGAAGGATAAAATCACAGCATCATCAGCATAGAGTAATAATGGGCAACGATAGTTTGTGATGTGATTGGCCAGTGAGAATGCAAGGGGGGAGTAAAAGTTAGAGTGGGAGGTTTTGAAAGTCAGTTGAGGTTTGGGAGTTGAGGTTTGGGAGTTGGAGAAGGAAGAGGGAGGAATAGGCAGTGGGTTGGTCGAGTTGTATTGTGAGAGAGTGAGAGGAATTGTCAGGTGGAGTCAGATAGATAGTTGGGAATGATCACTTTGAAGTTGTTAGGAACTAAGATTAAGAAACTGCCAAGAAAAATTAACTGTAACCATAAGATTGTTCCTGCATTTAAAAATCAACTTGATTATTTGTTAATGTTAACATCTGACTGGACTCCGTGTGTCCCCGTGAGATACAGGGTGGTGGCAGCGGAAAAAAGCAATCGCAGTGGTGGCACAGGGTCAATAGCCCGTCAAATGTCCGGGGGCCCTGTGTGTGATCGCCACAAGCTGCTTCCCTCCATGGTTCCATGTTGATGTGCTTCCTAACTTTGGGAGGTTGTGAGTTGCATTGAGCCTGCCTTACTAGGGAAAGACAGCACACAAGAGGGTGATTGGGGGGGAGAGACGATGGTGTGGGTTTATACAACCCCCCTCTGCCTTCATTAGTGCCCCATGGGCATCAGTCTTGTTCAGCAGCCCACTTCCTGATCAGTAAACAAGGATCCCTTTGCCTTCTGCATCTGGGCTGCTGCTGCTCATCTGTCTTTCAGACCTGTTTGCTTTTAAATGCAGCCTTGTTCCTAGTTGGTGCTGGGAGCTGGGTTTCAAAGTAATAAAATGCAACCAACTTTGCAGGCAGCCTATCAGAAGCACTCCTTCGTCACCCCCTCTCTCTGCACCTTCCTCGCTCAGAGTCAACTTGGGAGCACCAGTATCTCTGCCTGGCGCTGGATGAGTGCAAGGAGATCCTTGAGGGCATCCAGGAGGAGTTGAGGCAGGCAGAGAATCACGGGCGGCTGGATGCCTCCCCAAAGCGCCTGGATGCCAGATCTCTGCACAAGAGCAGCCACCCACTGGCCAGGCAGTTCCAGGTAGGGCCTCCCCTTCGCCCTCCCTCCAATCCCTGGCCTTGTCCTGCTCTTCCCCTCTGTGAAATGCTGCCTTTTTCTGCCCTTGCTGTGCAGAACCTTGACCTCATGAAACACCACATAATTCAGGAGGGGCCTCTGCAGCTGCGCAATCAACAAGAAGACGACTGCGGGTACGTGGAAGAAACAACCTCTCCCGCCAAAACACACACACATGGCACAGGCCTCTCAGAGTGGAGGGGCATGCACTCTTCCTCTGCAGTTGGCTTTGCCATGTAGACCCCCCCTTTTCTGTTAAGACAGGAACCAATGAGGGGAGGGGATTGTGGCCTTGTGGCAGAAAGACTCTGGAGTCTAAAAGCCCCGGAGAGTCACTGCTGCAAAGTGGAGCCTTAGCTGTCAAAACATCCAACTTTCACGAGTGTTTAGAGCTGTCATACAACAAGCCACAGATCACAAGACTCTCGGAAATAGTGTTTGGGTGGCAGAAGGGCTCTGGTAGCTCGATGGCAGAATACCTGCTTGGCATGCAGAAGGTCCCAGCTTCAATCCCCAACGACATTTCCGGGTTGAGCTCAGGGGAAGACTCCCTGCCTGGGACCCTGGAGAGCCATTTCTGCCAGTCAGAGTAGACAAGACAGGGCTAGATGGGCCCAAGGGCCTGATTTGGTCCAGCCTCCTTTGTTCCTCTGGCCTGGATGGGCCTTTGGCCTGATTCTGCGGCCTGGCACCTAGATGGTCTCTTCAGGATCAGTGGAGCTGGTGAGCAACAACCCCTCTCTCTGTGTGTGCTTGTGTCCCTTAGGCCTGCACGTCCTGCTTCTGGAACATCTTGCAGTATTCCTGAAGCCGAAGGGGCGGTGGATGCAGTTAAAATGCTTCAGGAGGAAGGCAGGGGGCTCTGTTTTAAGCCCCGTGGTTCCTCTGGAGACCACCCTCGTCCGCCCTGCAGCCACAGGTAAGAAGGGGGGGCCATAACACCACCGCTCTTCATGACACCATGAGCAACAACCCCTCACTCTCTGTGTGTGCGTCTCTTAGGCCTGCACGCCCTGCTTCTTAAAGACCTGGTCGTGTTCCTGAAGCCAAAGGAGAAGTGGGTGCAGATGAAATGCCTGAGGAAGAAGACAGAGCAGGGCTCCTCTTTAAGCGCTCGTCTGTCCCTCAGCCGGAGGCAAGAAGGGGTGCCATAACACCACTACACATGATGACCCTGTAAGGACTCTTCTTCCATCTTGTCTATTTTCTCTGTTCAGATCCAAGATCATTCTTCCTGATCTGTGTTTTGGAGGAGACACCAGGCATCTATGAGCTGGTGGCGTCCAGCCCTTCTGAGAGGATCGTGTAAGATGTTTGCCTCTTATTCTCCCCTGGCAAATGACAACAAGCCAAGCAGTCTAAACGAAGCTACAAGCACAGAAACGAGATGTATTTGGGGGGGGAGACATACATTAAGTGTCAAAAGGCAGGGTAAAGGTGTGTATTTATATATGTGTATGTTTTGTATGCATATATATTAGCTTTGAATAGCGTTGGAACTCCCTGGAGAAAGACGCTGCTGAAATAAATATGGGGTTGCACTTTGGTCGCCTGCCTTGCAAACTGGCAAATCGAAGCCCCTCTTCTGCTCTCTTGGGGCTTTAAGAGCGTCTCTCTCTGTCTCCCTTCTTTTCTTGGCAGGTGGCTGCAGCATCAGGAGAGGGTGACAATGGCCACCAGGAAAATTGTCATTCTGCCCTGCAGGCAGCCCCACCAGACGTCCCCCCCCCATGTGCACCCACCTGTGCCTTTCTGGTGAGACCCCCCCCCCAACTCTGCATGTTTCCTATTGCCAGGTTAGGACACCTCCAGGCAAGGGGCCTGGCTGGATTGTAGCCAACAGGGCAAAGGTGGGAGCCTCATCCATGACTGCCTCATCTTTGGGCCCTGGGCCCTCTCACTGTCAGCATATGGCCCCCAGGAGGTTTCCCATGGGGGCACGTGGCCCTCGGTTTGGAAGAGAGCCGCTCCTGGGAGGCTTCTCAGCTGGGTGAAGGGGACGGACACCCCCCTTTGCGATGGCTGCCCTCCTTTTCAGGGGTCCCTAACCCCTCCCCTCTGGGCTCGCCTCTTTTTGCAGGAGATAGACAAGGAGCAATGGGAGCGCTAGACGGCAGAGTCTATTTTTTATAGTTATAAAATTTCATTAACGTACTTTTCTTTGGTTTTCTTTTGAAATACATGTGTGTAAAATCTAATCTATTTTCTTTTTTCCTGTAGCTTTTAAAATGCAATAAATAAAAATGCAATTTATAAGGTCACGTGGGCTAAGGGCTCAGTAGTTCTCCATTTGAAGATAATAAGCCCATATCTTATCTTGGCACTTTTGTGCCCAGCCCCCTGCCCTTAGTTGTTCCCGGAGCTTAATAAGGGTATGATCCTTGAAAGCATTTAGCCTGTGCCACTATCTCAGATAGGCTGGATCAATTCTGACTGCTATTTCACAAAGATGTGAAATATATTGGCACTATATTCAGCCTTTCCACTCCACTATTAGGCCACACTGTGACCTCAGATGACTGCAGAAGTCCTGTGGCAGAGACCCAGGCCTAGGCTAAGTCACCAAAGAGGCCGGGCACCCATAACAAAAATGTCTCTGAGCATACAGGACTTTTCTAAAGACTCCTTCCAGGACCGGCGAGGGCAGAGCTGAGCTTCTGGCAAGTGTAAAGGCCCTTCTTGCATTTCTAGATACGAGAAAGAAGAGATATGTTGCCAGTGCGGCTATCTCTCTCTCGATTTCTCCAATTTTATAGTAGGGGCACCTTGAGCAGTTCTGTTGTCTCTCAGTGTCTAATATTCTTTGCCTGACTGTAGCTTTTGCCTGCCCAACCCCAGACTTAGAAGGGCTTGAGGGGCAAAATCCAGTTTCTGAAGGGTGTTCAGGACTGTCAGCCCGACTGGAATTGATTGCAGAGGATCAATGGGGCTATCCCTCGGGGGAGCAGATTCAATGTCAGCCATTTGTAGATTGATGTTAGGCAGATGTTAGCCTCATCATCCCTGTTTTGAGACACATCTGGGGACTTGTAGGAGATCTCTAAGAAGTCTGGATTGAACTCTCCATTCATAGATACTTATAGTTTGTGACTTGTTCTAATTTGTGGCCTTGGAGTTCCCAGCTTTTAAGCTTTGGTTTCCCCCAAAAGCGAGTATCTTAGCCTTTGATAGTTGATTTTGAGACATTCAGATTCACAGTATGCTGCGAGCTTTCTTAGTGCTCTTTTGAGTCCAATGGGGGTTCTAGATAGAATTACCCCATCATTGGCATATAGCAAGGCTGAAATACGCCAATTTGCGAGCTTCGGAGGGTGAAGTTCTGAGTCATTGAGTGCAGATAATAAATTTTTTAAATAGAAATTGAAGAGTAGAGGGGCCAATAGGCACCCTTGCCTGACTCCTTTGAAGGTTTTAATAGGGTCTGTTAGGTGTCCTAGGCGGCTACACCTGACTCTAAGAGCCGTGTTTGTGTGCAGTGCCTGAATTAACAGCAGAAGCCTTCTATCTATATTGGTACCCTGTAGTCTGTCCCAGAGTCTGGTTCTGGAGACTGTATCAAAGGCTGCTTTTAGATCAACGAAGGCAGCGTATAGTGAGGCCTGTCCTCCTGATTTGTATTTGTCAATGAGATGTTGTAACGTTAGACAGTGATCTGTCATGGACCTTCTGGGTCTGAAGCCCGCTTGTTCTATTGCCAGGATATCTTCATTCTCTAGCCATTCTGTAAACTTATTAAGGAGGTGCTTTGAGTAGAGTTTACACTTAATAGGCTAATTGGCATATAATTCGCTGGGTCCCCTCTGTTGCCCTTTTTATAGATTGGGACTATTATGACTGTTCCCCATTCCCTTGGGTTGCGGCCAGTGTCATCTATGTAAGTAAAGAGGATGGCTAAGAAAGGTGCCCACCAATCCGCCTGTGCCTTTATCATTTCTGGCGTAATGCCATCTGGGCCTGGGGCTTTGGCCGTTTTCAGTTGGTTTATATATGATTTCACTCGGTTACTGAAACTGGCGGCCATTTAGCCAGTTGTTCTATGTTATAATTCCGTAATGGAGGTTCAGCGTCCTCGTACAAAGATTGGAAGAATGAGACCCAAAGGTTAGGGAGAATTTGTGAGGTTAAGGGGGAAATAGCCTTATGGGTGCCAGAAGCTACCAGTTTCCAGAATAGTGTCTGATCTTTTGCTTTTGCTGCACTAGTTAATTCTAGCCAACATTTTCTGGTATAGGCGTTCTTTTGGTGGGTTATTAGGTCTTTATACTCTTTTTTTAGGGCATGGACAGCAAGATAGGCTTGCTGTCTGACAGAATTTTCGGCTGTGAGGGCAGCTTTGTAAGCATTTTGCAGGGCTTTCTTGGCCTCAAAGCAGGTGTAGTCAAACCAGGGTTTATTTGATGTTATTGGTTATTTGATGTTATTTGATGTTATTGGTTCAGTTGGCCTTTTCTCTGTGGTATTAAAAAGATGGGGTTTTTAATTGTTGGAGCAGGCTCTCATACTTGGAAACTGGGTCCTCAGGCCTAGGATTATTCCCAGAGCCAATTAAAATTGTACGCTCCCTCTCTCTCTAGCCTCAGACAGCAAAGAGAACAAAGGACCATAGTCCCACTTCACGGAACACAGTAACACAAAAATCCTGTCTTTTTGGACTCACAGCTGTCCATGGAGGCGCAGGTCAATTCTGTATTCAGGGCAGCTGTCTCCACCTGGTATGCAGGCTGAGACCCTACCTGCCCGCGGACTGTCTCGCCAGAGTGGTGCATGCTCTAGTTATCTCCCGCTTGGACTACTGCAATGCGCTCTACGTGGGGCTACCTTTGAAGGTGACCCGGAAACTACAACTAATCCAGAATGCAGCAGCTAGACTGGTGACTGGGGGCGGCCGCCGAGACCACATAACACCGGTCTTGAAAGACCTACATTGGCTCCCAGTACGTTTCCGAGCACAATTCAAAGTGCTGGTGTTGACCTTTAAAGCCCTAAATGGCCTCGGCCCAGTATACCTGAAGGAGCGTCTCCACCCCCATCGTTCTGCCCGGACGCTGAGGTCCAGCGCCGAGGGCCTTCTGGCGGTTCCCTCATTGCGAGAAGCAAAGCTACAGGGAACCAGGCAGAGGGCCTTCTCGGTAGTGGCACCCGCCCTGTGGAACGCCCTCCCATCAGATGTCAAAACGATAAACAACTACCTGACATTCAGAAGACATCTTAAGGCAGCCCTGTTCAGGGAAGTTTTTAATGTATGATATTTTAGTGTTTTTTTGGTTTCTATGGAAGCCGCCCAGAGTGGCTGAGGAAACCCAGCCAGATGGGCGGGGTACAAATAATAAATTATTATTATTATGTCTCCATCACTTCCCACTCTGTGGAGTCAAAACATACACCGTCATGTGATAGACAACAATCCCATGACTGCAATCATGGAGCAGGAATTCTGACATTTCCAGTGTTTTGCTATTAACATTCCGGCCGCTGTTGTTGGGTAAAGAAATACTCTTTGGTTTTCATTTTGGTTCCAAGATGGCGGCGTGTTCATACACTGCGGCTCTGAGCTCCCAATACCTCACCTACTCACGCACAAAACTGGTAAACATCGGGCTCACAAGAAAAATAGAGATAACTAGAGAGTTTCAAAGGTCCCACTGTATACCAAACTGCACAGTAAGACCTCCAGGATCTCTATGGATTGTCATCGGGAGGGGGAAGTGCCAAAAGAAGCGAAAGAGAAAAGAGCGAAAGCAAAAAGTGGCTGCAGAGCTGGTCTGTTAACCCGGCTTCGAAAAAGACCCATCAGACCAGCACTGCCAAGCACCAGATCTCTCGTCCATAAAATTGACGAATTACAGTTGCTGATGGCAGCAAACAAGCTTCTTTGTGAGAGCTTCTATGGTAATTATTACAGAAACTTGGCTACATTCAGCAGTACTGGATACGGCAGTTGAGCTGATAAATCGAATAATTTATCGCTCTGATAGAAACAGTGATTCTGGTAAAGCTAGGGGCGGAGGAGTCTGTATTTACATACACAGTGGTTGGTGCGTTAACAGCAAAGTAGCTTACACGTATTGCTCCCCAGATGTAGAATTGATGGCAGTTACATGTCGGCCATTTTATCTGCCTAGACAAGTAACTGTCATAATTATTACAGCTGTTTATATTCCACCTGATGCTAATGTCAGTGCAGCACTTTCTAAGCTATATGACGTCATCTCCAGGCAACAGCAAATCCACCCAGAGGGTGCCCTTGTTGTGGCAGGGGACTTCAATCAAACCTGCCTGAAGACAGTTTTCCCTATGTTTGAACAGTTTGTGAAATTTCCCACTAGAGGACAGAATATTCTAGATCTCGTGTATTCCAATTTGAAACAGGCAATACAGGGCAATCCCCTTCCCCCACTTAGGCTCATCCGACCATTCTTCAGTTTTTCTATGTCCGAAGTACATCCCTCTCAGGAGAAGAATTCAGCCAGTTATAAAAACAGAATTTGGCCAAAGGGTCTCTTAGTCAGCTCCAGGATTGTTTTGAGAGCACTGATTGGAGTGTGTTTGAACATCAAGATCTGCACAGATACACAGATACTATACTTTCCTATATTAAAGTGTGCACCGATAATGTAACATCGCAGAGATGCATTAGAGTCTATGGGAACTGTAAACCATGGATGACTGCTGAGGTAAGAACACTCCTGAAAACCCGGGATTCTGCCTTTAAGACCGGAATATAGACATATACAGAGAGGCGAGAATAAATCTCAAAAAAGGCATTAAGCCAGCAAAACAACAATATAAGCTTAAGGTGGAAAATTATTTAGCCGATAACAACATGAAACAAGTGTGGCAAGGACTGCAGCACCTAACCAACTACAAGGGCAATACGATTTGCCCCCTGTATACAATGCCCAGAGGAAAATTTATATTGCCAGTTCTTAACTGGCTTTCATGTCGATCCGCACAGGAAGTGACAGTTGAACTCCTAGCAGATAAACTTCTATATATTACACACCAGGTAGCCGAATTTGCACTGGCAGCCAAGAACTGGCAATATAAATTTTCCTCTGGGCATTGTATACAGGGGGCATAGCTGGAAGTGCAAATTCGGCTACCTGGTGTGTAATATATAGAAGTTTATCTGCTAGGAGTTCAACTGTCACTTCCTGTGCGGATCGACATGGAAGCCAGTTAAGAACTGGCAATATAAATTAAGCTCTGTTCCAGCTATGTGAACGCACTCCAGTTTTAAATTCAATGTTGTAAATTGCTTCTTTTTATGTTTTAATCTTCTACAGGTTAGATCTCTGTAAAACGAGCATTGGAGAAGCCCACGGTCTAACAGTTTCAGTTTGGTCAGTCACAGGGACAGCATCTCTGCGGATATGGGATTTTTCTATAGCGATCTTCAAGAACAGCAGAGGTGAGAGCACAAAGTTGTGTCAGGGTGAATGCCTTATAGTATTTAGGCAGATGCAGATTGCTAAGATAGGCATTGAGAGATACCTGGCAATAAAAGAAGGGGACCTATCCAGATCGGTTTGGTGTTCTGTGTTTGTGATACGCTGTTTGTTTGTTTTTTAAAGATATTTATTAAGATTTTCAAAGTATTACAAAATGAAAAAAGAAAAAAGAAAAATACAAAATAAAAATAGTTAAAAACAATTCCATCTTTCCATTACTTATCTTTCATTTGCTTGTTTCCCAGACCTTGTGATACGCTGTTTGATGGCTGATCTAGCCTCCCCAAAGCCCATTCTGAGCAATTGCTCAAGGGAAAAGCCCAGAGCTAGAATTTTGGTCATAACTGCCCGATACTATGCAGATTGGAATTCATCCTTGACAACAAAGGGAGGCAAGCCCAGTTAGGAAAAAAAGATAATCTTAGCCAATATTTGAGTACAGACATCTATACTCTTGCCTCTATGCTCAAGAGACCGGCTTCCAGCCTCAAGATGGCATTTGTGACACATTTTGGGACCTGAAAGATTGATCTTAAAATTTTAAATTAAACCCCTCTGGGCTCCCCCTTTTCCAGGAGATAGATGAGAAGCAGGGGGAGCGCTACATGTCAGTCCACCCAAACCTTATCCTGGGAACACATAGAGCTTGGAGATCAGCAAAGCCCCATGAATTGCTGTGAAAAACCAGCTATGTGAAATCTCCAATATACTAATTACACCTTCAGTGGTTTTGATGCGCTCCAACGATGTCAAATTTGGAAGGGAACCTAACTGGGCACCGTGTACAAGTTTGGCTATAAACTTTACCTCAAATAATTTCAGTGCTGCCTGTATATAATAGCTTCCTTTGAATCTGAAGCATCATGTATATTGTTCTTTTGTATTCTTATTTTCCACCCACCCTCCCCATCCTCAATCAGTTTGACTCTGGCCTTTAATATACAACAACAATTTATTTATCTCACAGCTAAAAAATAATAATGCTATCATTTGCTATAAATTATATATCCTAATACTGTAAAAATGCATACTTTTATAATATTTTATTATTGACTTGTTATAAGTTATGTTGGATATATTGTTGTTTAAATGATGCAAATATGGTTTAAAAATAAAACTTTGTATTCAAATTATATATTGCCTATTTTTATGCCCTCTTTTAAGCCCCATCGTCCCTATCAAGTCTGCCCTCATCCGCCCTGCAGCCAGTAAAGATCCACTAAAAACCAGATATGTGAAATCTCTGATATAGTAATTACACCTTCAGTGGTTTCGATGTGCTCCAACAACGTCAAATTTGGAAGGGAATCTAACTGGGCACTGTCTATGAGTTGGGCTATAAACTTTACTTCAAATAATTTCAGTGCTGCCAGTATGTAATAGCCTCCTTTGGATCTGAAGCATCATGTATATTGTTCTTTTGTATTCTTATTCTCCACCCACCCTCCCCATCCTCAATCAGTTTGACCCTGGCCTTTAATATACAACAGTAATTTATGGTGCTGGAGGAGACTCTTGAGAATCCCATGGACTGCAAGAAGATCAAACTTCTCCATTCTGAAGGAAATCAGCCCTGAGTGCTCACTGGAAGGACAGATCCTGAAGCTGAGGCTCCAATACTTTGGCCACCTCATAAGAAGAGAAGACTCCCTGGAAAAGACTCAGAAGATTGAGGGCACAAGGAGAAGGGGACGACAGAGGACGAGATGGTTGGACAGTGTTCTCGAAGCTACTAACATGAGTTTGATCAAACTGCGGGAGGCAGTGGAAGACAGGAGTGCCTGGCGTGCTCTGGTTCATGGGGTCACGAAGAGTCGGACACGACTAAATGACTAAATAACAACAACAATTTATTTACTTCACAGCTAAAAAATAATAATAGTGCTATCAATTGCTATAAATTATATAACCTAATACTGTAAAAATGCATACTTTTTATAATATTTTATTATTTACTAGTTATAAGTTATTTTGGATATCTTGTTGTTTAAATGTTGCTGGAAATCAATACAAATATTGTTTAAAAACAAAACTTTGTATTCAAATTATATATTGCCTGTTTTTTATGCCCTCTACGAACAAATTGTTGAGGGGATTGTGTGTATATCTACACAAACACATGTGGTGCGTTTGCCAAACTGGGTCTCTGACCCAGGTGACAGAAAGCCTACTTTTGCCCCTGGGCACACCACCCACTAACAGCAGCAGTCAAAATAATTGTTTTAAAAGGGCAGAAGTGGTTAATATCAAACTATTCAATACTGTTTTAAAAAAGCTGGTTTCATAATTAAAAAGAATACTGTAAAAATGTGATTGATGCTGAAATTAGGGTTCTTATTCCCCACCCAGTTCTCATAGGAGTTATGTCCAGCTAAGGACATCCTCAAGAATACGCTCATTGAAATTAATAAATTTAAGTTAATCACGCCCATTAACTTCAATGGGTCTAGTCCGAGTAGGACAAGCACTGAATACAACACAATATTCTTTTGATAGTTTTGTTCTTTTGTATATAATTTTTATTTAAATTTTCTGTTTTGCAATTTAAAATACTCATTTTACATCCTTAAGATATCAATCTCTTCCCTTCTTCTCTTTCCATGGTTCATTTTATAAGTCCCTGTGTATTTTATAAAAACTACACCAATCGGTTTTCCATTATTACATCCATCAAAACTTGTTTACACAGTTGAATTTATCTTAATGCTGCCAGCGTTTTCGGCTGTACACAATTATTTCCCATATGGCCAACAAACGTTTGCCAGTCTTCTTTAAATGTATGTTCTTCTTGTTCTCTTATTCTATATGTCAAGTCTGCAAGTTGTGCATTTTTAATAGTTTTGTGCACTTGCTTCTGATAGTATTGCCGCGGCCTCTTAAAAGCTACGTTTTGGGCATCCTGGCAGCAACAATAATTTTAGATGACAAGGGAGAAACTATGGATGTATAATAATAATAATAATAATAATAATAATAATAATAATTATTTATTATTTATACCCCGCCCATCTGGCTGGGTTTCCCCAGCCACTCTGGGCGGCTTCCAACAAAACACTAAAATACAATAACCTATTAAACATTAAAAGCTTCCCTAAAGCAACGGTCAGAAGAGCTGTCAAAAAAAGCAATATGGATTCTTTGGAGGAATTAATCATGATGATTAACGTGAATAATTATTAATAGCATTGATAATAATGTTTGGAGGAATTAATAATTGGAGGAATTGATAAGGAAAACGCCCCTTCCCCTCACTCCCATGTATTTTAATCAAGAGTTCATAGCCCCCATTGAATAAGAAGAAGGCGGTTAGAGCAACGACCAGTGGCGGCGGTTGGCCTGAGGGACAAACCGTCTTCGCCTCGAGTTGGCGCGCTAGCGGGATCGGCGCATGCGCCGGCGGTCGCCCGCACGCGCAGACGGCGGGGGTGGGAGGTCGGTTGCGGAGCGGAGACCTTCGCCGAGAGGGGGAACTTTCTCCACACACACACACACACTTCAGTTTTCCTGGTGCGCAGGCGCGTAGCAGGAGGCCGTTGCTCCGGGCGACCTGACGGCCGGCCTTCTCCTCAGGAAAAGCTGAGGGGAGGGAGGATGTGGCGGCGGCGGCGGCGAATCCCGGCGTCGCCCGCCAGGCGCTGAGAGGGAGAGAGCGCGCGCGAGGAAAAAAAGGCCCATGGCGGAGTTCCTGCCGGTGCCCGGGCTGTTCCTTCGGGAGGAGCCGCTTCCCGGGCCGGATGCGTCCGAGACGGAGGCCGAGCTGTCCCTCAGCCTGGCGCGCACCAAGACCCGCTCGTACGGCAGCACGGCCACCGTGGCGGCGCCGCTGGCCGAGCGCTACGTGGAGCACCGCATCAGCGCCTGCGACACCCTGCAAGGCATCGCGCTCAAGTACGGCGTGACGGTAGGTGATGGCCGCGCTCGGCTGGGCCGGCAGGGTCGCTGGCTTCCCTGCCCAGGGTCGGCGTCCTTGCTGTGGGTAAGAGGACGCGGCTTGGGGGGGGGGAGCGCCTGAACATGTGCAGAGTGCCGTCTTCTTCTGGGGGCTCCCACCACCAGAGTGGAATAATTGCGGGATGGATAAGCGAAAACTAGCGGGCCCCCCTTTATCTGAAGCATATGCAGAGTGCTCCCCCCCCCGCCACGTTCTCAGTGACTCCAGCTGGATTCTCAGACATGTGACTGTTAGGAAGAGTACACTTAGTAGCGTAGAATTGTAGAGTCGGAAGGAACCCCGAGGGTCATCTAGTCCAACCCCCTGCAATGCAGGAATCTAAAGCATCCATGACGGATGGCCATCCAACCTCTGCCTAAAATCCTCCATTAAGCAGAGTTCACAACCTCCCGAGGGAGACCATTCTAGGGTTGAACCACTCTTATTGTCACAAAGTTCTTCCTGGTGTTTAGTGTTTTTTGTAACTTGAAGCCATTGGTTAAAGTCTTGGTCCCTAGATCCTTTTCACATGTACTGCTAGTAAGCCAGATTTGCCCCCCCCCCCATTTTAAATTTTGCAGAGAGGGCCTTCCTCCTCCTCCTGAAACTAATTACAGTGGTGCCTCGCAAGACGAAATTAATCTGTTCCGCGAGTTTCTTCGTCTTGCGGTTTTTTCGTCTTGCGAAGCACGGCTATTAGCGGCTTAGCGGCTATTAATGGCTTAGCGGCTTTAAGAAAAAGGAAACAAACTTGCAAGAACTCGCAAGACTTGCGAAGCAAGCCCATAGGGAAATTCGTCTTGCGGAACGACTCAAAAAACAGAAAACCCTTTCGTCTAGCGAGTTTTTCGTCTTGCGGGGCACCACTGTATAGATAGATCCCCAGACATCTGTGACTGATGTAGTCTATGAACATGTACAGAAGGCTTTTCTCTCCCTGCCCTTTGGCTCAGCTGGTCCCTCAGGCATCTGTGCTTGATATGAAGAGAGTGCTTCTCTTTGCTGGTGTGCTGAGCCCCAGGCATCTGTGATTGACAGAAGAATGTTTGAGCATGTACAGAGGGCCTTTCGTCTCCCCTCCCAGTAACTGTCAGCCCCTTAGGCATTTGAGATTGGACAATACTTGTGCAATAGGTATGCAGCCCAGTAACCCAAGTCAGCATTTTGGGCCTCTATGAGTGATAAGAAGTAAGTATGTATAGAGGGCCTGCCTTCTCTTCTTCCCCTGCAATAATTACAGATAGCTCCTGAGGCATCTGTGACAGATAAAAGGAGAACAATTCACTCTGAATATGTGTAGAGGGGCTCCCACTACAAATTGCCCCTCAGGCATCTGTGATTGATGTGAGAAAAATGCTTTCCTCTGAATCTGTGCAGTGTCCTCATGTCCGTCCGTCCCCCCAACATGGATATCTGTAGATGGCACCTCAGATGTTGAGCTGGATGAGCTTCTAGAATCTAGACAGATGTGCTTGGAACTCCAGCACATCTGTCTTTAGCACTAAAGTTGTAAGAACACAGGGAAGTGCCTTATGCTGATTCGGTGCATTGGTCCATCTAGGCTCAGTAATCTCTATTGTGACAGGCAGCTGTTCTCCAGGATTTCAGGTAGGAGCTTTTTCCAGCTCTACCTGAAGATGCCTAGGATTGAACCTGGGACCTTCTGAACGCAATGCAGATTCTCTAAACTGTGCTACTGTCCTCCCCCAAAGACATAATTGGGCAGCAGACAAAATGCCAATGTTTCATGTGTAGCTGCCCTGCTGTGATCACCTTTCAGCATGAAGAGAGTATCTTCACCATCATAAGAGGTACTACAGCCAGCACCTTAGGCACTGGTTAGGGACTTTCAGAGATATTTGAGCTCCAGCACCTCTAGCTTTAAGAACAAAGACATGGTCAGGTATGTTGCCCTGTGTAAAGAAAGTTTTCTTGGATGATTCTCTGCGTAGCAGGAGAGGTGATGTTTGTTACACAACTGTTGCACTTCCCCAACCTTACTGAACTGTGATTCAATTTGTTGCCTTGGCTGCATGTCTCCCCTGTAGTATGAATTATTTAAAGATTCACCCAGATACAAAAGAAGGTGAAGTGGTTGTTGTGGGTGACAATACATTTTAGAAGCAATATCTCAGAGAAGCAACAAACAAGTGTTTCCCAACCTTTTCCCGACAGTGGCTCCCTTCCGACCTTGTTTCCTTCCTGTGGGCCCCCATGGGCATGGCAGGGGGGCAGCTTCCCCCAAAAGTAAAAATCAGTACAAATCTGAGGTTCTGTTCCCCCTAACAAAAGCCTGCCCCCCGAACAAAAATCCTGGCTACACTCATGCCCCCCAACCAACTGGTAGAAAGGTAGCTATTTAAATGTTTTGTTTGTAAATAGAACATGTTTTATTTATAATTTTTTATAATTTATACAAAATCCAATTACATTAAATAATAGGAACATAATGAAATATTGTTGAAGCAGAAAAACATAGAATCATGGAGCTGTAAGGGGCCCCAATGGTCATCTACTCTAACTCCCTGCAATGTAGGAAACTCAGCTAAAGCATCCATGGTAGATGGCCATCCAACATCTGCTTAGAAGCCTCCAAGGAAGGAGAGTCCAGAACCTCCTGAGGGAGATCCATCTTCCATGTATTATTAAAAGTAAGCAACACTTATTTGACCCCAGTTATTTGACATAGAGAGGGAAACCTACAGATACAGTTCAAAAGTCGCACAGGGAGTTCTGTATATAAGGGATAATTTTAAAAAGCAAGTGGTCCTCACTGACCTGGTACAGAAAGCTTTTGTCATCCAGAGAAGCCCTGGCTACCTACATAAAACACTATAGCCCCACAAACCCTTACTTGGTAGTAAGACCCATTGAACTCAGTGTGGTTTTCTTCTGAGTAGACAGTTATTTACTACAGGCAAGTCAGCAGCACCAGACAACTCCGCTCAGCTGGGCACTGTGGTGCATTTTACTCTGTGCCTTGCAGAGCCAGGCCAATGCTGTTGACAGGCCCTGTGCTCATTGGCAACATCCAAAGGCCCTGATCCATTTGGCGCTGGGGTAGATTGCACCCTGCGCCTTGCTGAGTCAGGCCCAGGCTGCCAGCGGGCCCAGCACTGGCTGGTGGCAGCAACAAACAGCTCCTGCTCTCTCAGCCCTACCTATTGCCACTCCACCCCTGCACTTACCTGACCTGGGGGTTCTGAGAGGAAACAAACCAGGACTGCTCCAAGAAAAAGCACTTTTTATCCGCTACTTTTTGCGGATAGCCAGCCAATCAGGATTTATTTCTATTAAAAGCGTGATTTCCCCCCTCACTTCTCACTTCCCTCTGTGGCCCCCAGCCTCGTGCTATGACACCCCCCCCCATTTACATGATTTTCAACTGTGTCCCCCTTGGAATATCCTGGGGGGGCCCAGCTGGGAAACACTGGTTTAATCCAGTGTTTAATCTCCCCAATCCCTTGCAGCGTGGTTGGGGAGATTTAGGTGCAACTCCTGGAATATGTGCTGCTACCAGGAGTCCAGGAGTTGTATCAACCTTTCTTAGGAGATCCTGAGCTAGTCTCATGGGTTGCTAGAGACAGCAAACTTTTGGACTAACATTCACACTGGGCTTGTCCTTGAAGAAGGTGGAAAAACCTGGAAACATAAGACAATTACTGATGTAATGGAATGGGTTACTAATAGTATTGCATATGCTAAGCTAACTACTAAAGCATATTTATGAAATAAGCATTCACACTATTAAGGGATTTTATTTATAATTATATATTTGCTACTTTTACTGAAATGAGGAAGTCAAGTTACATAAGTGCACTCATTTACCTGTTACATGGCATACAGCAGGACAATGAGCCATCTAATAAAAGAGCTAGGAACTAGCTCACCAGCCTCCTGCCAAAAATGCCATCCTGGGAAGCAAACCGTATTTTGCATAGTGGGAGACGGATGTTACAGCAATAACCCTGTCCACTTCTGCCTCAGATCCCACCCACTTTCGGCATGCAGCTTCTTTTGGTATGAGGCAATGTGACCCTTGAAGAAAGAAAAGTTCCTATCGCTGATGTAAAATATTGGTTCATTAAAACTCATTGCGCAGGAGACTTTGTTTAGAGATAACTATGGGCCTTGAACTTTCCAAAAGCAAAGGCTTCTAGTTTTGGATCTTCTGTCTTAGTAAGAGAAGGAGGTGTGCTTTGTTTATAGTTAATAACAGTTTGCAATTTTATAACAGATTTATATAGCAATTATATAGAAGATTGCAGAGCTCAGGTATTGAAAGATTATAAAAAGAGGAGGATAGCTCATGTTGGTACAGTGGGATGAACTTTCTCATGACAGGATAGCATCTCATGGAGCCAGGTGCTGGATTCTAGTACCTATGATGATTTCTCAGTCCCCGGTCCCCAGTATTGACTCATAATAACAATATGACCTAAAGTGCTGTATTTGTAGTGCTTCATCTCATTCCAGTGGTTCAATATTTATATAGAAAAGCAGAAATTAACAAGCATGATTCATAGAAAGCTACTGATTTGGATTTAAGGGATAGGTGTAAATTAACATGCTTGTATTTAGATATCATTTTAACCAGGATGTTAAAAATTCCTTTGAAGTTTTACATTTCTTGAGCCATGTGCTAGAGAAGCAGGAGGGAAACAAAATCTTGAGTTACGTAATAGCTTTATGTGCATTATTTATTAAGCTGTGCTGTGGCTGCTACATTTTCTTGCTAGCCCATAGTGAAAACAACGCCTCAGAGAAAATATTGTGTTATTTGGTTGAGACTACCCTACTTGAGACGATTCACGTATATGGAGAAACTGTTGCCTGATAGTGAAAAATATATAAAAACTAGTTTCAATAAACAAAAACACAAAACTGTTTCATACAGTTATGGAAATAAAAAAGAAAATGCAATTTAATTTCAGGGTTTTTTCTTTGTCTAGTTAGAGTTGGAAATACAGTTTGTCTCCAAAACCTTTACTATAACTTAAATATTCACATGTCTATGGTAGGCACCTGTTATTTCAGCTGTAATAGGACATAGGGCTTCATGTTGACGCTCAGTCTAGTTCCATGACTGTTAATTATAAGCTTTTCCTAACACCATCGTGGGAATTTTGGATGGATGATGGTGTGGTGCAGTTAGAGCCACAGCTCTTCAGTTATGCCATCTTTAATGTCACTGTAGTTATATGATATTTTATGTTTATTACTTGACGAGTTAACTGGCAAATGAAGGAGAGTGGAAGGGATGTAAATAAGATGACAAGGCCCTGTTTCACACTTGTTTCTAGCAAGTGCTGGAAGGGGCACCAAGCTGGCAACTAGAAACTCAGATAAGCTCTTGGGACCCCTAATTTTCAAGTTCCATGGAATATTTTGCATTAGGTGTCCCTGGTTCATGACTTCCAGTTCCATTAATCTGCTGAATGAGTGAGAGATAACTTGCCTGGTTGCCTGGTATTTAAATTCAATTTGTGTTTTGCAGCATTATTTTCTCCTTTTTGTAAGAAACATTATTACAGGGCACCAATAAGAGAATATGCCCAAAGGGATAATATTTTATTGTTTAATTTCATTATTGAAAGATACATTTTATAGTGTATATTTGAAAGAAGAGATGGTAAAGTTGCTGAGACATTACATTTAAGAAGGAAATGTGTGTCATGAAGCTGTTTATAGAAAATTGATAAACAATCTTTACTTGAATCAGTAAACATAGTTTTATGTCTGTTTCAGATGGAGCAAATTAAAAGGGCAAATAAACTGTTCACCAATGACTGTATATTTCTGAGAAAAACATTGAATATCCCTGTTATATCTGAGAAGCCTTTGCTGTTTAATGGACTTAACTCATTGGAGTCTCCAGAGAATGAAGCTGACACCCCCTCTTCTTGTGAAGATGGACCAGTGACAGTTCAGGAAGACAACTCTTCACCCAGTCCTCAAGAGCCTGACAATCATCTCCCTCCACCTGAAGAATTATCTGCCAAAGATTTTCTACATAGACTGGACTTGCAGATTAAGATGTCCAAGCAGGCAGCTCGGAAACTAAAACCTGAAGATAACAGGTAAAGAAAAAAGAAAACTGCCTGCTTATTTAAACACATTTTGAGGGCTTGGTGTGGATAATACTTAGAACAGTAGCATACAAAACAGAGAGTTACCCACTAAAGCACAGTACTGTTGGAAAGGGTTTACAATTTTTCCTGAAAATTTTGAGAATTTTCAGGAAATTCTAGTATTTGAGCTTCCATGTTACAGATTTGGTTAGGCAAATTCCAGATACTTTGATCAGCTCAGTGGCTAAAATTTTACACACACATACCTAGAGAACTGAAGTAATTCCGTTTTTAAAAACTTTGAGAAAAGCAAAAATACAAAAGACCAAAGACCTGTCCAGAGTTTAATCTTCCTGCCCTGCCCTGGTCTCAGCGATACTACAGTAGTACCTCGGGTTACATAGGCTTCAGGTTACAGACTCTGCTAACCCAGAAATAGTACCTCGGGTTAAGAACTTTGCTTAAGGATGAGAACAGAAATCATGCAGCAGTAGCCTGGCGGCAGCGGAAGACCCCATTATCTAAAGTGGTGCTTCAGGTTAAGAACAGTTTCAGGTTAAGAACGGACCTCCGGGACGAATTACGTACGTAACCAGAGGTACCACTGTAATGAGATTGGCCTCCTCATCCACAATCAGATCATGGATGAGGGAGAACTTGTTCAGAATCAACCCACCATTCAACAGCTGCAGGCACATCAGACCTGAGGGCTGGCACACAGTGCAGTCACTAATTGCCTGTGCTATACAGTGGTGCCCCGCAAGACGAATGCCTCGCAAGACGGAAAACCCGCTAGACGAAAGGGTTTTCCGTTTTTGAGTTGCTTCGCAAGACGAATTTCCCTATGGGCTTGCTTCGCAAGACGAAAGAGTCTTGCCATTTTTTTTCCGCTCCCCCCCCCCTTTTCTAAGCCGGTAAGCTGCTAATAGCCTTTTAGCAGCTCAGCCGCTAAGCCGCTAATAGCGCTAAGCCGCTAATGGGGTTGCTTCGCAAGACGAAAAAAACGCTAGACGAAGAGAATCGCGGAACGGATTCTTTTCGTCTTGCGAGGCACCACTGTATGTTCCTTCCCGCACCAAACCTCCCGCTACCCTGAACTACTGTGATTGCCCCTCTGCTCTCCCAGCTCCTCTCCTTCCAGGCACATTTCACCTCCTTCAATAAAAAAGACAACAAGAAACCCACACGAAGTAAAAACAGTTAAGATAATTGAAGCAGCCATCATCATCATCATAATTTATTTATACCCTGCCAATTTGACTGGGTTGCCCCAGCCACTCTGGGTGGCTTCCAACATAATAAAAACACAGAACATTTAAAAAATCCACATACCACGCTACCTTCAGATGTCTCCGGAAAGTTGTATAGTTGACTATCTGACGTCTGATTGGAGAACATTCCACAGGGTGGCTGCCACTACTGAAAAGCTGCCAGTTGCACCAATACAACTTGCACACCAACAAGGCCAGGAGCAAACCTTTTCACCCTTTTCTTCCCTTCTCAGGGGGATGACAGGGCTCTCCCTCCCTCTTCCTTTCCCTCCCACTCCAGAGTGTAGCAGTGCATATATTTGCAAGCATCTCTATGGCCTCATTCATTCTTGACCTTTTGTTAATGCACAATAATTATTTCCTTGCTCAAGGCAACAGTTCTTCTATTCTATGCCTTTGTATTTTCCTTTTTCCTTTTTTATTTTGATAAAAATTAAAGGAGTGCATTTAGCTTATTTTTAGAAATTCTTTTAGTAAAACAAAACACTCTTTGCGGAAAGGTTGCAATAATTTAGTTCAATTCCTTTGACAAATGCAGACCCCCCCCCATCCTTCTATGATACAGTCCATTTGGCAGGTGGCTAAGTTTGAATTACAGTTCTAAAAATGGCATTTGTTCTGCTCGATAGGGACACTGAAAGATATTTAATTTTATTCTTTAATTTTATTCTTTTAATTTTATTTAATTTTATTTGTTGACCCAAACCATCTTCCTTTTGTGATATGTTTTGCTGTTTTTTTAATATACGCAGGGTCTATGTATGCCATAATTCCATAGGACCATTGGGAGCATAGAAATAGCCAGATTGTAGAAGTCGGAGCAGAATTCAGTTTCCTGACGTAGCTGAATATGATTTCAAATGTTGTTGGAAGGACTTAATTGTCCTTGCCCCTGCCATGATTAGCAAAGCCATAATAAATTGTGCAAAGTAGCAAGAACTGCTGCCCAGAAGCAGTCACTACTTAAGGCTGCAACAAATAAAAAGGTTGCAAGCCCATGCCATTAGTGCAGCTGAGAGACCAGCAACTTTTGCCATCTCTCCTGGAACTTTTTTACCCCAGCTTATCAATAGAAAAACTTGTAACTTAGAGGTTGTACTTGCATCTGCATATATTTGCTACTGATCTATTTTTTTTTCCTTTTGTGGTATGGTTTTGTAGATTGTAAGTCTGAGGGCAGGGATTATCTTATATTTCATTTTATGTAGTCAAAATATAAAGTCGTACCTTGGTTCTCGAACGCCTTGTGACTCGAACGTTTTGGCTCCTGAACACTGCAAACCCAGAAGTAAGTGTTGCGGTTTGTGAAATTTTTTTGGAAGCTGAACGTCTGATGCGACGTCCGATTGAGTGCAGAAACCTCCTGCAGCCAATCGGAAGCCACACCTTTGTTTTCGGAAGTCAAACGGACTTCCAGAATTGATAGCGTTTGAGAACCAAGGTACAACTGTAGACTTCTCACTGTATACAAAATGCTTGTGGGCTCGCTTGATACATTGCTGCTCGAAAATTGTGAAGATTTCCTACAAGGAATGACCATTCTGCTACATTCCTTAAATGCTTTACTTTGTGGAGTAAATTTTCTAAGCACCTGGAAACATTTTCACAAGCTTCCTTTTTTCTCAACAGGGAGGACGATGAGGAAAACTCCTATGCAACTTCTTCTTATCAGCAGCAGTAGAAGATGACTGAAGAGCTGGAATCAAAACTGTTCTTAAAGAACTAAATATCTGAGGATTCAAAAGCAAACCTTTTGGATTGATTTATTATCGTGTACTTGTTACAAGTCGTATATAGGTAATTCCACTAACTATACTTGCACTAAAATTATTTGACCTTCGCCTTCTGCAGGCCAATGTCATTTTACTATACATTAATAAAGGAAGTGATCCTTCCAAAACTAGTAATTGCCTTCGTATTTCTGCTTTGAAAATATATCCCTGAGACAACTCTGAATCAGGATCGTTAGGAAACAGCTGTATATACTTATAAGATAAAGTGTAAGGAAGATTAAGTATTTATGATGAAAGTCATTATTATGGAGCCTTGAGATAGATAAGCCTGTCATGCAGATTTTGTGCATATCGGAGCTGACGGATACAGCTCTGAATATTTTTTTCTCCATGTGTGTGTACATGTGTCTTTATACAGATATAAAAATATATATAGAAAGATATTTGTTCTTAAAATGTACCAGTTTTAACTGTTTTGGAAATCAGTTGAGATTTTAAAGTATGTATGGCACAATACCTTGCTCGGAGACTTTTTTAAACAAAGGGAAGAACCTTGGTAAAAATGTATTTTTCTTTGTGTCAGGGTAATGTTCAAAACATAGATACTTGTGTGCAGATATATGTAGTTTTCATGTAATAAATGCAAAATGCACTTTAAGAATGTGAACTGTCTTTGTTTTTCAGCCTATCTGTATAGAAAATACAGAATGTCTGGTGCTTTGCAAATACATTTCAAAAATATGCTTTTCTGTTTCATTTGAGTGTATTAAAATTTCCAAAGCTGTCAAAGTGTCTGACTTTTGTTCTAACTACTGCAGCTTTATTTTAAATACATTAATTTTATGACCATAAAGAAAAATGAATCTATTGATTATGCTTTTTTATTCTTTATGCTTTCTGAAAAACTGAAATCAGAAATTTAATATCTTGGTTGTGGAAAATGAATGAGGATGCTATTGTATATGTCAGGGTTGGGGAACTTCAGGTTACAATATTCTGCCCCATCTATTATCAGCGGTTCATAGCACCGGCACTGCAAAGATGGATAGAAGTCTCACAATTTGCTTGTGTCTGGAACTACTACACATACAAATTACCGTATTTTTCGCTCTATAAGACGCACCAGACCACAAGATGCACCTAGTTTTTGGAGGAGGAAAACAAGAAAAAAAAATTCTGAATCTCAGAAGCCAGAACAGCAAGAGGGATCGCTGCACAGTGAAAGCAGCAATCCCTCTTGCTGTTCTGGTTCTGGGATAGCTGCGCAGCCTGCGTTCGCTCCATAAGACGCACACACATTTCCCCTTTTTAGGAGGAAAAAAGTGAGTCTTATAGAGCAAAAAATACCTTGGTGGGCACGTAATTCAAGGCTTGTCTCATCCCTTTACAATACATCCATGTGACTTGTGCTCAGGATTCTGAAAGATCATCTCACCCCTTATATATAAATTTGATCACTGTGCTCTGCAGGCAAGGGCCTCCTACAGACACTGTCTTATCTGGTCTGTTCTGCACAATATAGAAATCTGGCCTTCAGTGTTGTGGCACCTACCCTTTGGAATTGCCTCCTGTCAAATATCAGACAGTCACAGAGAGAATAAACACCATGGTGCATCTGCAGCAGCACAACCAGATGCCTTCATCTGCCCCAGCTGCAACAAAGCATGTCTCTCCTGTATCGGTGTCTACAGCCACAGCAGGTGCTTGCTGCAACCTTGACTTCACCCTCAAAGGCACAATCCTCCATTGTCTCCTGAGACAGATTGATGTCAGCAAACATACCCTCTTTCAACACACCTTTTAAGGAGAGAGCTTTCCCAGTCTGCATCTGTATTGGAATTGTTTTTCGGTATTTTAATTGTTTTACCAGTTAGTGTTTGCTGCCCTGGGAAGAAGAGTGGGATATAAATGCAATTAATTGATTAATATATGTCCCTATTTAAAATCAAGTGCAGTACTTCTACTCTTCGATGGAACACAGTCATTCAGTGTCTCACAGCAGCCTTGAGGTCTGTTTTGAAAAGCAACTGCAAAGTTCTAAGGTTTTCATTTCAGATATCCCTGCCCCCCCCCGCTCCTTTTTATTCAAGCCCAGTGAAAGCTGTTGCCATAAGGATTGACGTTGGGGTGAAATGAATCCGCTTTAAGTTCTCCCTATAGATTTCCTGTCAACACTTCTTCACTTTCTTTGAAAGAGAAGCCTCCAGTGGAATTGTTTTGCACTTACCAGGGGTGTTATGAGATGCACTTACTTGCATCTCATAACACCATGCAGCTTGAAGAGAACAATTATCCTAGTGCCCAAAGTAATGGGTGAACGACATCTTTTGTGTTTGTTTTAACCTCTGGAAACGTGTTTAAAATACTTTCACATGCATATCTAGAGAAATTCATGAAGCAGAGTGCCATCAATGGCACTCGTGGACAGAGACAGTAATGTATCTGAACACCAGTTGTTGGAAACCACAGGAGGGGAGCTTGCAGGTTTTCCAGAGGTATCTGGTTGGCCACTGAGAACAGGATGCTAGACTAGATTAGCCACTGGCCTTATCCAGCAGTCTCTTTGTGTTCTTAAATAGTATGTCTTTTCTGCAGATTTTGTAAGTAAAAAAAAAGGTAAAGGACCCCTGGATGGGTAAGTCCAGTCAAAGGCAACTATGGGGTTGCGGCACTCATCTCGCTTTCAGGCCGAGGGAGCCGGCATTTGTCCACAGTCAGCTTTCTGGGTCATGTGGCCACCAGGACTAAACTGCTTCTGGCACAACGGGACACCGTGATGGAAACCAGAGCACACGGAAATGCCATTTACCTTCCCGCCACAGTGTTACCTATTTATCTACTTGCACTGGCATGCTTTTGAATTGCTAGGTTGGCAGGAGCTGGGACAAAGCAATGGGAGCTCACCCAGTCACAGGGATTCAAACCACCAATCTTCTGATCGGCAAGCGCAAGAGGCTCAGTGGTTTAGGCCACAGCGCCACCCGCGTTTTTTAAGTGGCAGGTGTGGGTTTGGGCAGACTTCTGAAATAAAAGATTCTGAACTCTTCCTTGTCAGAATGATGATTTCTGGGAGATAGACATACTATTGTAGACAATTGCATTCAGCTCATAGCCGGCCCACTTAAATTAAGGGACCCAAGTTAGTTATGTCCATCACTTTAAACGGATCTATTTTAAGCAGGAGTAGCATTGGCTACAAGTCACAGTTTCCACATTTTGTACAGATCCTTGGATATAGCCTTTCTGTTCTTACTGGCACCTTTCTGAAATCAGTCGGAATAGGTTTCAAATAGGTTTTGCGTCACAAAAAGTGTGTCTCACAAAAAACGTGTCTCAAATGGCAGAGATTTCTCTCCACCCCCAATGCATGTTCATAGACGTCTAGAATAATTTCCACAGTACAGGATCAAAGCCTTCAGAGAGGCAATGCACGAAAAAGAAGAAAACGAAAACCTGCGCCAATGTATCTTGTAGTAAAGCATTTAATAAAGTACAGTATCAGAAACAGGATTGTATTAGAAAAGTGTATTGTGAATGTAGTATACTTCTGTTACATTTGCCCATCAGCCATAGTCTTAAATAGTGAAGACACCTCAAAATACCTAAATTCTAAAAGATACTTTGAATGTTTTTTTTTTTTTAAAAAAAAAAACCTTAATGGTGCTGCGTGGGATTACAACTGGAGATGTACAGGATACATACTTCATTCCATGGAGGTGACAAGAGAAAATGCTTGCAAGCTGTAGTCTGAAAATTGCTACTAAAATGCTGTGATAGCAAAAGCCTCCAATTGTCAGGGTACCATATTGGGCATCTGCAGTGCTAATCGTGATGACCGAAATTGCTCACTTTGGCCTTTTAACGCAAGCCACAGCCCTTCTGCAGTGCAGGGTGATGGATGAGGTTGCCTCCTCTTTGCATTGTCAACTCACGCCATGAAAAGCCGTTGCGTTTGATGCAGCCTGACTGAGCCCGTGCACCGAAGAAAAGCAGAGGGAAATGAGCCTGCCGTTGTTGGTGCAACGTTCCCTCACCATTAAAAAGACACTGGGTTGTATCCAATGCAGTGCTAAGTCACTTAGTGGTCTCCTTGTTAACTAATCCCAGTGGTAGAGTATTTGCCTTGCATGGAGAAGGTCCCAGGTTCAGCCCCAAGTATCTCCGGGGGGGGGGGGGGGCTGCTGCCAGTCAGAGTAGACAGCAGTGAACTGGATGGTCTGACTCAGTACAAGGCAGCTTCCTGTGCTCCAGTGTGTGTCAGAACAATGACATGGACCATTTCCTGCCAGCTCTTGCAAGTTGCTAGGTCAGGAATGGATCCATTCCACACAACTGGGCTGACAAATCTAGGAAACGCCATACATGGAGCCCCATTTTGTGTTTTCCACCAGTCTTTATTCTACTTTCTCCTCTTTCCCTATTCCTTAGTAGGAACCACAAAGAACTTTGCCTTGTTATCCCTCTGTCCCCCCCCCCCCTGCACACAACTTCTCTGCATCTCGACAGCTTCTGCTACAACCTTCACGCTAAGGACTTGCAAATCTGCTTCTCTAGTACAAGTCTTGCTAATTCTCCAACACATCTCCAAGTCTCTTGTTGGAAAGAAAGCCTGGGGTCATCTTTACCTCCTTCCTTCATCACCTAAAATGCAAGCAAATGCTGCTTCTTGCTTCCAGCACCTCCAGGCTAGATCGGTTTCTTTCTATATGACTAGTAAAACTATTACCTGCATTTAGCATCCTGTGGTTAATGCCACCTCCTCCTATCACCTTCTTAAATCTTTCAAGTAATGCCCTATAGCTATCTGCAATCGAGTTCATCATCCCACATCCTTCTCTTTAAAACCCTCTCTTATTTCTGCCCTATCGCCTCCCTCCGCTAAACTCAAAATTAGGCTCCTTTCTTTTCTGCCTATTATGCAAAAGCTTGTTTGTCACCACTCCGGCTCCTACGCACATCTATCTTTGGTTAAAATGGGGAGCCTCTTACACCTCCTGTATCTGAGACACATTCCTCTCCCTCTTTGGCATGCTACTCCCTACTCCCTTTATGTATCTTCTCAAAATTAACTTTTTCAGCAACCCCAGCCACACTGTCATCTGACCATTGCCATCTAGCTGTTCGTTTAGTGGGAAATTGCAGTCAGCCGTAACTATGAATGAGTGCTAGTTAATGCATGAAGGGGTTAAGATCAGAGAGGGCTATTCCTAGACTCAGACCACACCATCTCACCTCCTCCTTCTCTTCTCTCACTCTATTTGCACCATGTAATCAACCAGGAAGGACTTGCCCCGAGCTTGCTCCAACCTCAGACTGCTTGCTTCAAACCACCTTTCTGTATTTTGTACCCAGGAGTATTCCGCTTGTGTTCTCCTTGCGGTCGCATGGAACAACACATGAATCAGAACTTTTGATTTGGTAAGTATTTTAACCTTACTTAAGTGTGTAGTCTGTAGGGATAGAGAGAGGGGCAAGCACAGTAAGCAGACGAAATGGGATATGAAAACAACTTATATTGCCATGCTATACTGCTGCTTAACTCTGTGACTGTTTTAAACTCCACTGGGGAGTGTGTTAAGCCCCATGTTTTGAAGCCAGGCATCCAGCCAATTCTTTTGTTAATAACCCACACGTGGGTCACACAGATCTAACCCCCCCTTTCCCCCCATTCCTTTTTTCTTTCCAGGTACAGTAAGTCCTCTTTGGAGCTCCACATGTGTGGTCTGCACAGTGTCTAGCACATGCAAACCACTACACAACTAAAGTAGTTGCCAGAATTCTACTCATAG